CATATTATATACATATAACTGGAAATAAGATAAGTTAATTTATTATTTTATTCAAATTTGATTCATTGAATATTTAAATTCTACATTTAGTTATATTATTTATTACATCTAGAAAATTAAAAAAAAAACAACTCTATTTAATTACCTGGGAGCTAGAGTTTCCAGTAGCTTGCATGGGTAATGAATGGATGGATATAAGATGATACTCGCTCTGTTCCATTTTTATTAATCTACCTTTATTTGATTTTCATGAAATTGAAGTATATAAAATAATATACAATTTGAATAAATTTTGGTATTTAACTTAAATATGTATTTCTTTGTTATATATTATAATTCAATTTTTAAATTTTGTGTAAAGATATTATTATTTAATTTAATTATTTACTGAACCATATCAATCTATCAATTTTTATTTAATCAAAATTGACATTAAAAAAAAAAAAGAAGAACTTAAACTTACCCAGGCTTTATCCAACATAAATTCAAACCTATAATGATTCATATAATTCCACTTCTCAAAGAGAAGACCCACACACAAACCTTTCAAAGTCCACCTTCTACATGGTTCCAAGTGGTTGCCCTTTCAAACATTAGTTTCCCATCAATGACAGAAACAAAATTGGAAAAAAACCCAAGTTTTTCTAGAACAACACAGTGAAGACTGGAATTGTGACGTTGACCTATGAATTTGCATTAGTCACTGCTTACTGCTTACCGTCAATGCCACAGATTCACAGTGTTTTTTCTAATTTTATTTTCAAATTACCATTAATTTGTCAATTTATATTATTAAGTTTTTTTACATCATATTTGAAGTTTAACTTTGTCTTATACATCACCCAAGCAAATAATTGTGATAAGTAATGTTTCTTAGACATAATATTTAAAAAATCTTTTGAATTATTTTAAAAGATTTTGTTTTTTATTACATTTAATTAAATCTTTATATATTTATTTTTTAATCAAATAAACTTTTATAAGTAACAGTTGATTAGTTGATGTTAATAAAAAAAATCACTTGTCATTCTATATCATATGATACTAACGCAATATATTAACATATCATCATAGATAGTCATTTTGGTATATTGATGTGCTATAATTATATAATCACTTAATATGTTTTACCCTTCAAGTGAATGTTATATGAGTATAAAATAATAAGTGGTATTTTTATTAATAACAAATGGTCAATTGCCAATTAAGAGAGCCTATTTGATCTAAATAAAAATATAAAAGTTTCATTAAATGTATTAAAAGAATAAAGATATATGTACAATTTTTTAAAGTATTATATTTTTTTTTCTTTCAAGAATGATCATATATAACATTTTTGGGTAACACAAAGGTCACAAGATTTGATTATTTGGTTATGTCGAAAGGGCAAGTCTCAAAGTCGTTTATTAGGCCAAAAATGATTAAGCAATTGCAAATTGTTTCATAAAAAAGAAAACAAATTGAATATTCTGGAATCTCAACCTTCAATAAAATTTTAATTTGAGTCGTGGTCATTGATTTTTGCTGTGTCTAATCCTGGCATCACATATCATGCATATTCTCTCTTGATTGAAGGTTGCCAACCACGCTATACTCTTATTTAATGATTAGAAGACCTTTCAAATGGAGAATCCACAGTCCTCAATTAATAAACATATAATTATAATTATAGTTACGGTCATTTTGCTTTGTCTAATCCTGGCGTCACACACCATGTATGAATGTACAATCAAATGTTTTGAAATTTGGCAATTATCTTACTTATATTTAATAATGGTAACACCTTAATTACTTTTATGACTTAAAATTTTTTTATTTTATTTATGTGTTGACAATTTCGTGATAGGGAGTTAAGGAAACAATTAACGTATATCATGACATTATAATCGAAAGAGACATAAAATTTCAAATCAATTATCAATAACAATTTGAATTTAAGAATTTACCTCTCTCACTCATCATCATAACACTTCTACGCCACATACATAGTCAAAAATTACATTTAAAAGTTTTGTCTGCGATTTGGAACCATCGCCTATCAACATCTCCAACGGGAAAAGACAGCTATTGTTGAATATTTCAACCCCCTTTTAGATTTTTTTTTTAGATTTCGAAGTAGACTCGCTTTACAAGAAATCGTCTTACTCTAAATGATGATTATTTCATATTTTAAGACAAAAGTGTCAAAATTGTAAGATGTTTCAACAAATTTGTTCCTATTTTACCTTTCAATCGATACAGTGTTATGGTTTCAATGAGAAGTCATGAATTTTACATCAAAGAGATTATACACTTTCCAAGAAGATGTCATGATTTTATAGAAGAACTATGAATCCCACATCAAGAGGAGATGTTATTATTTTAGAGGGAAGTCATGAATCCCGTATTAATTGTTATACTATAGTGAGATTAGGTATTTAAGGGTTTACACCATTTTCAATTTATAAAGTGCATTTGACTAAAATAAATAATATCTTATAAGTTGATGTGAACTTTGACATTTGCTATCAGAGTATACATATCCAGGGAGGATGTCATACTTTCAAGCCATAAATGTATGAGTTTTGGACTTATAAGTTGGAAGTCTATACAATGCGTATGTTTTGGATTTATAAATAACTATTTTACTTTACTTAGTCGCTTTTAAGATTCAAATTCATGACTTTCGAGTTAATATTTAAGTTATAATAGTTAAAATAAATGTTTCTTCTTGTAAATTAGTCTATACCTTTTCTTGAGGAAAAAAAAGAGAGAGGAAAGTTTAACCTTATTATGTGAGTTTGGTTTTCAAGATCCCTTGAGTTTGGAAATACCAAACAACGAAAAAGGGGAAAGAGAACAATTTTTCAGTTTCTTGTTCTCTCTTTGGATGAAAACAAGAATAAAAGAAAGCAATTGGTGGCAGCAACTCTAGCAGACATCTAAATACTCCATCATAATTCTCCATGCAGGTCAGAAAAGAAAGACAAAGCCAGTTTAAACGAAACAGAAAACTATATATTAATCAATGCTTCCTCTAGGTATAATATGGAAAAAAAAAAAAACCCTGGTAATGGAGATGAGTCTTGTAATCCCTCCAATTTAAATAATGTTAGCATTGTCTTGTGCCTTGTTTGGATGACAGTGTAGAGCTATAGGAGTTGTTGCCCATAAAGTATTGATCACAAGGAATTGTACAATGTGACAGACTAGTTGTTTGATAATTGGCCCATTTGCTTTCCTAGTTGTCTTTTTAATCTTGACACATGATTGAGGTATCTGGTGCCAATTATGGCAGGCTTTTTTATGTTTCAATCCAAATTGGTGGGTGATGTTTACAAGAAGCTAATTGGGTGGGATAGCAAAAACTAGTTGGGTGCAGCAGAATTCCAAGGAATTTATTCCCCCCAAATTGAAGTCCTCTTTGTAGATATGGCTACAACTGATCTCCTTTTAGAAGCAATTGGAATCATTTTTGTGTGCCCAACATATGTTTGAAGAAGAAACAACAAAGGAAATTCTCTCCTTTTATCTTTTCCTGGTGATGGTATGGTGGCGGTTTTGGGACAAAATAATTGATGGGGAACATTCTGATATTCCCATGGAACCAACTCCTCAAAAGGGTTTCAACAAGTTGGGTCGCACCGAGTTGGTCTATGGCATCCTATATTTGTTCACACGGCCCGCCCACTACCAAACGAAATTGCAAGGTTTTCCTTATTTTTTTATAAGCCTCTACCGACGGATTTCAATCGGCTAGAAGCATTTCATTGAAAAATTCCAGAGTTCAACGAAATTTTTCTGAATTCTTAATATTCGAAAATTTGAAAAACTTCTAATAAAACATTTTGATGAAATTTCGTTAAAAACTAGCAATTTGAACTAAATTTCAATGTATTTTTAATAAAATCCTCCAATAAAATTAAGCCAGTTTAATGGAATTGACACTACAATTTTTTGACAAAATTCTGACCTGGAATTTTTAATATTCAAAATTTTGACAAATTTCTAACAAAATATTTTTATGAAATTTCATCCAAAAATGATAATTCCAACGAAATTTTGACAAATTTTTAATAAAACATTCCAATGAAATATTCTTTAATTGAAAATTAGTTGAAAATGACGATGAAGCATGGAATTAGCGCCACAATTTTCAAACAAAATTCTGACGAATTTTTAATATTCAAAATTTTGACAAATTTCTAATAAAATATTTTTGGTGAAATTTTGTCCAAAATTCTAACAAAATTTTGCATAAAGTTTTCTGATGAAATAATCTTTAATCCAAGATCCATTGTAGTTGATAAAGCTAGTTTAATGAAATTGGCACCACACTTTTCCGATAGAATTCCGACAAATTTTTAATATTCAGAATTTTAAAAAATTTCTAATAAAATTTTTTAAAAAAATTCCTTTTTACTCTATAAAGTAGGAATCCACTATCCTAGTTCCCTTAGTAACACTTCCCAGAGTATATTGCAAGTTACAAATTCCAGTATCATCTTGTTGGGCAAATTTTTATTTTAGTGAATTTTTTTTGAAAAATGACGATTTTAACAAAATTTAGATTGAATTTTTAATTAAAAATCTGTCGAAAATGACGATGATGCCAATTTAATGGAATTTGCACCACAATTTTGGAACGAAATTGACACCTGACCAGGAGCTTTATGCATAACAACATTGCAATTCAAATTTTCTTACTTTTTCCCCCTTTTTATTTAAATTTTATTATTACAGCTAGTTACACCTAACGCTGTCCATATTTATAATTCTATTTTTACCTTACATTATATGGTAATTTTACAATGTTCATCCAACAGAATTATTTCTAGCTTTCAACCCTGTTGTATGTAGTGAAGGTCATGATGCGTTTCCTCAGTTTTATTCACCAAAAGCAAATTCCTCTTCATTAAGATTACATCGTAATATGCAGTGCTGAGCACTACATTATTTGGCATTTGAGAGGAGCACAACCATGGGTGCTCAAGTCCAACAATAACTACAACTGCTGCTGCTTAGAGACGACCACAATCGTAGCGGGTGTGGGCAATCTTGTCTCTAAAGAGGACCATTAGAGAGATAATGCATAAGCTTTTTACCAGTAGGGTTGAAGTATCGAGCATGGTCCCGATAAGAAAAGTTTCCAGCGACAACCAAAACACTCTCATTTTTCGCTCTTTAGCATATTGATCCAATGCCGCCTCCACGTTAATCATTGTTTTCGCTTGTTTTTCATCAACGCGCATGGTTTGGTTTTGTGATAAGCATCTTGCAAGCACGACTGCGTCTTCTAGAGATGCTGAGCCACCTTGCGCGAGGAATGGAGCCATGGCATGCATGGCATCTCCTGCCAGTGTCACACTCCCTCTACGAAGATTTGATCCAAGCAAATCCCATGGTGCTCGGAACCTCAAATCCGTCAGATGCAGGGAGTCCACATCGCTGTCCTTTACCATCTCCATTATGTGGATGGGGAAGTCCTTCATTGCTTCCACAGTTAACTCTTTGATCAGAGTTTGAGATTTCGAAGCCTTTGAATCTGCAGGTAAATTTAAAACCAAAAAAAACAAAATAACCATTTAGAAATTGTTAGTATGATTACAAGGACAAATTCCAAGCGTCCCAACAATATTTATGAGACGACAGAAATAATTATGTCAGACATCCTACATGAGTGATTGTGCAATGTTTTCATTGTATTAACTCTTTCACTCATAAAAAAGAAAGATCTACTTTGATCTGAATCTACCCGGACTCGAGTATTTTTTATTAATATATAAATCTATTTTTAATTCAAAAGAACCCAACACCCATCTCATCTCTTACTTATAGTATCTGTGACATTTAGACTAAGCTAAATTATTACCTTGAGAAGTTTGTTTCCTAGTTACAAACCAATACACTAGCTTCTCAGTGACAGGCAAAAGTCCCAGCTGAACATCATCTTTGCTGAAAACGAGGAAGGCACCGCCAAATTCATGACCTGTTTCATAATTTGTGAAGCCCCTAATAACACTTGTGGAGAAAAGCCTCGTGGAGTTGAGTCCAAGAATGTTTGCAATGGTAGAGTTCACACCATCACATCCGATCACAACCTGCTTTTCCAAGAATTTGCAAATTAATATTATCATAGGTTCCACTAGGAAACTCAATTTTGATTTTTGTATTGTCAAATACTTTAATATAGCATTCATGTATAATTCAAAAGTAAAACTCTGAGAAGGGAGAGAGCATTGTAATTGGATTAATTATTAGATTTAAAGTCCAAATCTAAATTCTACCCTCAAATACAAGCTTTGAAAACAAACCTTGAATGCTGTTTTTGTGAATGCATGAATGAAGGAATTGTTACAATTACCTTGGCCATTAGCACACTTCCATCCTGCAATTGAAGAATCGGATAGGACGTTGAGGGATCTAATTTTATGGACATCACCTTGCATCCGAGGTGGACAGTATCTGCAGGCAGATTCTCAGCTAATGCATTGAGGAGGTCAGTCCGTTTCAAGCATCTTAATTCTCCAACATCCCTACAAAAACTCGTAAGTTAATTTTCCAACCATTTGTCTTACCCCAACATTTAGATCAATAATAAGTGTGTCTTTGGCTCTAAAAGCTCTGTTCAAATCTTTTTTTCTAAATAAAAAAAAGAACCCTTTTTGTATTATGCAGAAAATCCTTAGGTATATTGGCATAAGGTCACAGGAAAATGCTATTTGTTGACCATTTGGAAAGGAAAAGAACTTCTCGTACTAAAAAACAACCAGTGTAATAAGGAAAAAGGTAAACTTACCCAACAGGCAAATCTTTCTTCTTGCCATCTTTAACTGTAATGTATTGTCCCCTGTGAACAAAAAACCTAGGCAGATTAAAACAAGTGACAATACTTTTTTCGGAGAGGGAGAGAAAGGGAGATTATCTTACGATTGTATAGAAAGAGCAGTTTGCCTAAGTTTGGAAGCAATGCCAAGTTGATCCAATGCACGCCACCCATTTGGTTGCACTATGATGGCAGCTCCTGTTGCTCGCAAGTTTTCTGATCTTTCCAACACTATACTTTCAATCCCTTTCCTGAATTCCACATTCTTCTTCATCAATCATAAACTTTCAACCCAAAATCCAACGATATGCTCCCATAACTTTGTATTGCAAATGGGTTTCTAATCAAGATTTGAGTTTATCTGGTCGAATATCTAATCCGCTATTTTTTTTTTTGGTATAGACGAGAAAGTCTAATTGAGGTTTGAGATACACTAGGTTCTTAGTACATTATACAAACGTACCAAAATGAATATTCATATTAATTAATACCAATATATGCTTTTACTGAATCTACACATCAAACTCCTCTTATTGTTTATATTTCATAGGGTAGGAAAGATTCAGAGATTGGTTGATTCAAGAGCAATTACCCAGAAACAGCTATATCCCTTGCAAGCAAGGCCTACGCTCCACCCAAAATACAACCAGAGCAGGAATTGCATTGCCAACCCTTGCCATACCAGAAAAACAAGCACTCAACAAGGTCATGACAGTACGATGCTAGAGAACATAAACAAGATCTCATAACCATTTTCACAGAAACAGAACCATATTCCCGTCCCTCAAGGCAGCCCACATAACCAGAACCACCCACCAGAAAAATGAAAGCCAATAAGAAAAGAGATCCTACGCAGGCAAAAAACTCAAGATACCAGTTAAGCAATTGCATCGAAGACAGCAACCCAGGAACCCAGAGAAGATACAGACTAGGACAGTTACTCATTAGCATTTTCCCAAAGAACTCCTTTAGCCAAAGTTTCGGCTGCCCCATTATCTTCTCTGGGTATGTTTACAATCTGCCATTTTGTTCCATTTTGAATGTGGTATGGTGTTGATGTATGCTAGCTACTAAACGGTATGAAATAATTGTTATAACCCGAACAATTCTTTTTCAGATTCAAAGCCATGTATTGCATTTTGGATTTTTTATAATAATTTTAGAAAGAAAATAATATATATATATATATATAACCAAAAGGAATATCTCGTGGTTGAAATAAAATAAAGATCTAGCATTTAAATGATGGAGATATTTATTGTTTCTCTCAATTCTCACTCATGTCTTTCTCAAGATTAAGACTTAAATTAAATCATATTCGACTTATATAATAAGAGGTAAAGTTTTCTTTATTGACAAAAGTTAAGAAAAGAGAAAGCCACAAGAATTTTTGAGAATGTCAAAAAAATTCATTGAAAAATGCTTTATACACTGTCTTATATGTAGGGGGTAATGAATGGCCAACAAGAGAGAAAATTAACTTTACTAATCTATATAACTAACAGCTCCTAACTAACTTTTAAAAAACTAATTAAATGAAATGGTGCCTTTCATTGTACAGAGCATCTGTCCTTTAGTCAAATGGTGCGTTTAGAGCACTTACTGTCCAACCTTCTTTCTTTCATGCTCGAGCTCTTCTTTGTTGCTCTTCATTGAAGCCTTTTATTCATTCAAGCTTGATTAAGTTTGGAATTATTCCTCAATTTTGTTCATCACTTCCCCTTGAGAGGAGGCGTGAATGCTGTGAGCATTCATCTTACTCAGTAGCTTATAAAATGACTTTGGTTGCAAAGTTTTGGTGAAAATGTCAGCTACTTGCAAGTTTGTTGATATGTAAAGTGGCTTGATTATACCTACCAACACTTTTTCTTCAATGAAATGACAGTTCATTTCAATGTGCTTTGTCCTTTCATAGAATACCGGATTTTTGTTGATGCGGATGGTAGATTGACTATATGAATACAGGTTTATAAGACCATCATGATTTATCTCAAAATCTGTCAACAAATGTTTCAACGATATTAACTCATAGCATGTGGAAGCCATGGAATGATATTCTGCTTTAGTTGAGCTCCAAGTTATAACAAATTATTTTTTGACTTCCAACTGACAAGAGAATCTCTTATATACACACTCTAACTAATGATTAATTCTCAACAGTGGGGCATCCTGCTCAGCCTGAGTAGGTTAAGATTTAAAGAGTTGATCATGATTTCATCAAGATTCCTTGTCCATGAGTATTTTCAAATATTTTAACACCTTGTGAGTTGCCAAAAGGTGCATTTGACCAGGTTTATGCATGAATTGTGACAACACTTGCACTACATAAGAGGTGTCTGGTCTACTAAATGTGAGATATAGCAATTTACCTATTAGTTGTCCGTAGTTTATTGGATTTGTTAGTGTGTCTCCATTATGAGCTTTTTACAGCTTGTGATTGTAGTCAATTGGAGTATTTATTGGTTTAGCTCTTAGCATTCCTTGTTCTTTAAAAAGGTCAAGATTATATTTCCTTTGACTTATAGAAATCCCTTCTGGTGCATTCATAATTTCTAGCCCCAGAAACTGTCTAACGTCTCTAAGATCCTTGAGTTTAAATTGTGAGCTTAAAAAGTCTTTTACTTTTGTTGCTATATGAATATATGTGCTATCAATTAGGATGTCATCTACGTATTCCAGGAGAGCTATAAAATCTCCACTAGAAGTCTTCATGGTAAACAAAGAGTAGTATGCTATTGACTACTTGAAGCCAAATTGTAAGAGTGATGTAGTAAACTTGGCATTCCATTGTCTGGATGCCCACTTTAATCCATACAAGGATTTGTGCAATTTGCAGACCAGCTTTGATCTTGTAGGATATTCCCCTTAAACTGAATAACCCTATAATAGCTCCATATGTACCTTATCGTCCAAATCTCCATTAAGAAAAACATTATTGACATCTAATTGTGATAGGGACTAACCAATTGCTATAGCTAGAACAAAGAAAACTCTAATGGTTAATCATTTTGTTACAAGATTGAAAGTTTCCTAGTAGCTAAAGCTTGTAACTTGATTGTCCCTTTTAGCAACCAACCTTACCTTGAATCTTTCAATCTCACCATTAGCCTTTAACTTTACTTTATAGATCCATTTGCACCTTATGACTGTAAACACTATAAATAAATAAATTAAATTTAAAAATTCAACCGATATAACATGAGCCACGTATGCCTGATTCAAAACCTTAAGTAATGCATTCCTATGTGCTTCCGAATTCAAAAGTAAAGATAACAGCGAGATGAGAGCAAGCTTCCATTGTCAACGAAATACAGAGCATTGAATGCTCCTCATGTAGCTTAGATTTGAGATCATTTTCGATGGATTGCTTTTGACTTGAAGGCCACCCATCAGGAATTCATACGACAATGACATGTGAATTTGAAGGTAGAGGTACTATGTTCCATGTACCTTTATCTTGTAAACCTTTTAGTTCAAGATTCATGGCTTCTCTGCAATGTGAACAAATCACAACTTGATGATAAGAGCTTGGTTCATGAATATGAGACAAAGAAATAGTAAAAGCCTTGTGTGCAAATGAAAGTTGGCTAGAAGACAAGTGATTTGTTATAAGATGAAAAGCAACAATATTAGTTTGAAAAGGTAGATCAACATAATAGGCATCAAGGTACTTAGGAGTTTGTTTTTGTCTTGTGCTTTTCCTAGTTGGTATCTCTATTTCTTGAGAATTGGTTATATCAGTACTGTCGCTGTCAGCAGCAGTAGGCATATTGTCAGTTGGAGGTGTATTATGGTGAAATTTACTTGAGCTTGATGTGGAAGGACTTTCAGATGATGGAAAGGGTTCATATAATTGTAATTCAAATGGTATGTGGTTTTGGTAAGGTTAAGAATGGGGAATCTGAGTCAAAATCATCAATATATTCATCATGCATATCAGGAGTTTTATAAAATGCATTTGATTGCATACTATTGCTTGATGAGTGAAATGGAAATACCTGTTCATGAAAAACAATGTTTCATGATACCAAGACTTTTTGTGCACAAAGATCATATACCCTATATGCTTTGACATTTTTTGGATAACCAAAGAATATGCATTTGTTTACTCTTTTATCTAACTTTTTAATATTTCATGTCAAATTGGATACAAAGAAATAACATCCAAAGACTTTGAAATAGTCAAAAACCGGTGGTTTGCCATATAACAACTCAAATGGTTACTTATTGTGAAGTATTTTAGTAGGTACCTTATTAATGATGTGAATTGCAGTAAGAACTACATCTCCCTACAAGTGACAAGGACATTTAGACTGTGTTGGTGTTTTCTCTCAACCACACCATTCTGTTGAGGGTTATCTACACAAGATAGCTAATGAATGATTCCAATGTTGGCAAAGAACTCAGCAAGTTTAAACTCACTTCCATTGTTTGATCTTATGCACTTAATTGAGATTTCAAATTATTTTTGGTCATACATATTAACAAAAGAAATAATAGATGAAACCTTTAATCTGTTTCTCATTAAGAAAATCCAAGTGAAACAAGAAAAGTCATCTACAACGGTGAAGAAAAATCTTTGTTCTGATAAAGTTAGAATTTCATAAGGCCCCCAAATGTTAGCATGAATCAGTTGAAAAGGTGTATTTGTTTTTTGAGTATGAACATGAAAAGGAAGTTTTCTTTACTTTGTCAAAAGGCAAATTTTACAAAGTAATTCATTCAAACAATTAACAATTGGACAATGTTGATGAATTAGATTAATTCTTTCTAAAGGTGCAAGGTCTAGCCTAAAATGCCAAAAATCAGAGGTTTTATGTCCTGTTTTATAAACATTGACAGAAAACACTGAAGGAAACTTTACTAGTCTATCAAAATAGGATTTTGACATGTCTTGTTTATCTTTGCTATCTTGCATCAGATAAAACATTGAAGATGCCCTAGCAACCCTAATCATTATCCATGAGAGAATGTCCTAAACAATACAATATGGGATAGTGAAAAGTATATAGTTTTTCTTGATACAAGTGAGTTGACCTATTGATATAAGATTAAACTTAAAGCTTTGGACACATAAGACATTATGCAGGGTTAATGATGAATTTATTTTAACTAAACCTATATGAGACATTGTTGCTATTCTATCATTTGGCAATTGAACATAGCAATTTTTTATAGATTCAGTTTGAATAAAACTATCTAAGGAATTGGCTATATGATCAGTTGCACCTAAGTCCATGATCCAATGACCTTGTTTAATCATGATAGTATTAACATGTTGAAGTTTAGATGGTAGATTTTATGTGTACTAAAACAATGATGGTTAGAAACTAAACTTGCAAAGGCAAAACTGACAAGTGAATGTTTAGTTTGTTGAGTGTTTGTTGAAAAACTCTTACGATCATTGTTGATCAAACCATTCTCATTCAAGAGCTTTATTAGCTTGTTAACCTGTTGCTTAATCATAGATATTTGGGACATGGAACTAGTACTTCGCATCTCTTCCACATGATTAGCATGAAGTTCATTTGTTTATGGTTCATTTACAGTAAAAACATTGTTTATCACAGCTACACCTTTCTTCACATTATATTTCCCTTTGGTAAATTTGAAATCCTCAAGAAAAGTAATGATTTTGTAGCATTTTTCCTTTGCATGACCCTTTTTGCCACAACGAGTACAAGTCAAGTCTTTCCTTGGTTTCTTTTTGGCATTAGTGCTGCAAGCATGGCTAAAGACCCAAGGAATGGTTGGGATTGGAAAAAAAGGTTTCTTTGCGTTTCCCCTCTCAAGACCATACTATCAACCTTGTCCAATGTTGGAATTGGTTTATTTAAGGCATTAAGGAACCTAAATACCATGTCCTTTAAGTATTGGTTTGAATATTTCTTGAAGCAATTTGAATTGCATTTTCCACATTGAAAGTGTGGTAGTGGCTTGTAGCTTTTTACGTCTTTCCAAATTCCTTTTAACTCTATAAAGGAGGAATCCACTATCTTAGCTCCCTTAGTCACATTTCCTAGAGTATATTGCAGGTTATAGTTTTCAGTATCATCAGGTTGGGCAAAGTTCTATTTCAATGTGTTCCAAGTCACTATAGCGAAGTCCATAAATAATATAGTAGAAGCTATTGGTTGTGAAATAGAGTCTAATAACCAAGCAACTATCAAGTTGTTGCCTTGGTTCTATGCCGATTAGGCTGGATATGTGATTGAAGGTTTGGGGATGGTACCGTTTATGAAACCAGTTTTGTTCCTAATTGATAGTTTGCTCCAAGCCACATAGTTATTTGTAGAGAGTTTGGGATTCACTATCATTGAACCCGTATGGTTAGTGTGGTAAAGGTAGTATGTGGATTGAGAGTCACATGCTGGTGAAATTTGTGAGGCAGATGTAGTACGTTGAGGTCTAGATTCGATTGATTCACTAATCTTTCAGCTCTTAAACAAAAAAACCGAAACCAAATATGAAATGAAAAAACCAGATTAGTGTACTTACTAAAATATGCGGTTGATACACGAAAAGCTAACAATTTCCTATAATTTGAACTCGGTTTTGTCTGGTAAATCAACCGTTCTGCTCTAATATCATCACAAAATGTAAATAAAAGGGAAAAACGACTCAAGAATTTCTGAGGATGTAAAAAAAGTTCATTGAAAAGTGCTCTGTACACTGCCTTATGTGCATAGGGTAATGAATGATCAACGAGAGAAAATTAACTTTGTTAATCTATACAACTAATAGCTCTTAACTGACTTTTAAAAAGGAAATTAAATGAAACGGTGTGTTTCATTTGTACAAGCTAAGATGTTGGTCTTTCTTTAAATGATGCGCATAGAGCATCTGTGCCTTCGTCAAATGGTGCGTTTAGAGCACCTGGTGGCTAGCCTTCTTTCTTTCAAGCTCGAGCTCTTCTCTGCTGTTCTTCATTCAAGCTTCACTAAGTCTTATCATTTATGTTACAAATCTTATTGAATTTATTCCAAGATTTGAACTTGAAACTTTCGAAATAGTCTTAAATTCTGACTTAAAGATGTCTCTTTAAAGTCTGAATTAATAAACATATGATATTTGTTTAGTCTGCACTTTTCTTCTATATATTTGTTTAGTGGCACATTCAAATGCACCAAACTTACTGATTATATATTCACCCATGTCACAAAAAATTAATTATAAAAGTTGGATAAGTGTTTATCAGGCATTTATTTCTCTAAATGATTATCCCCATCTGATGATCTTTTCTTATATTGTTGGAAAAAAATTAAATTCGAATCTTCCTTTCTTTAAAAAACTATAAAAGCTTCCTATCATCTCTCTCCTTTCCATTATTCTTCTTTCCTTGACCAGAATTTTATTTTGAAAGGCATTTGCATTTGTATTGATTGTTAACTAGATTTATAGAGTTGTATTCGTATGATCTAGAAATAGCTGGATCGTGTATTTTTTATTATTATTATTTTTGAGAATTTGGAGAAGCTAGATCTTTGCTGCGATGAGTCTTCATCCAATACTAGAATGAAGACTTGTCGCAGCATGAATGTATTCTCTTAAGGAATAAATACAATTTATACCTTTCAAAAAAAAAAATTTCTATAAAGCTGTTAGCCAAGTCTCTAGTCCTTCGATTATGGAGAAAACACTGGATACGGCATGACTCATCCTATCTCGACGTATCAGTACAAAATTCCCCTTTTCCCTAGGTCACACCAGGTTCCCTGAGTCGCAGAACCACACATGCTGCCCAAACTCCCTGAACCACCCTGAACCACCCTTTTGACTGGTAAACCCCTCTCACTCTATTGAACTACCTTGATGTCCAGTTTGCTGCACAGCCTCCCTATTACGCCTTCCCTCAGAATTATAAAAGCAATGAACAAGGATGAAATTTAACTTGGTATACATGCAGCTTTACTGTTAATTTCATATAGCCCCAAGTTATAGATCAGCTTTTTTGTTCATATATTGATCAAGAAAAAGAAATAATACATAGCAATTTTTCTTCCTATGTATCTAAAATGTACTTTAGCAAAGCAGTCAACCAAAAGAGAAATATGAAAGAAAGAGAAGAAGATCGACGAGAGAGTGGAGTTGGCTGTTGAAGATAAATAATGTTAAAAACCTGTGAAGAGCAAGAGCCGTGGCAAGGCCGCATATTCCACCACCGACAATGACAATCTTTTCTTCCTCGCCCCTTTCCATCACTCTCTTCTCTGTTTACTGATCTTTATTCTTCTTCAGTTGCTTCTTTCCCTCAAGAGAAACATATACATATACATGGCTCGCCCGATCACCTGCTTCACTTTCTGCCTTGCCAACTTGCTTTGATGCTGTACATCGAGATAGGCAACGTTTTAGAAAATATGAATATGAATTGAAACAAAACTCAGAAATTTCACTTCATTGTACCGCCATGCATAAAACATCTCCCTACACGTTTAGTTATTAAATAAAAGCTGGTGGTTAACTCATGGGTGCAATGCAATTATCAATTATTGTTCCTTATTTATCTTTTTTGAATATTATAAATATAAAACCTAAAGAAAAACGTTCATGGACTTGTCGTGAATAGATTTCCTCATTATCTATAGGCAATTAGCCTGTAAAATTACTATTTAGTACCATGACAAAATTTTTGTGCAAATTGTATGAACTTTTTGGGCAATGCAAAGTGTGTTTACTTTGAGGATTTGCTGGACAGTAATGGATCATACCCAACAACCAAAACACAGAAAAACACATGGACAAGAGAAAAAAGTTGAAGGCCACACGAAACTGATGAAGACACTGTTCACAGAACTGAAATATCTATCCGGCAGCAACTGCCATCTCCCATTAAAGATTGTTTCAGACCTTGTTTTCTTTTTTAAAAGTGGCTGCCTTTCCTATCACGTCCTACAAAAAAAAAAAAGAAAAAAAAGAAAGCATGAATGTGAATTTAAACAAGAGAAAATTATAAAAAACAATCTTTTTTTTATAAAATAATTTTAAAAATAACTACTCATATAAAATTATTTATTTTTATTCAAAAATAAACATGAATAGATTAAAAAAATACTTTAAGCAAAGTGTTTTATTCATGTCCTCAAAATCATATTCTTCTTCTTAAAATAAATAAAAAATTTCTAACATTTTTTTTCTTTGCTTGATAAGATAAAATGTAAGAGGAAGAAAGTAAATGCACATAGTATACGTACACGTTAACTGACCTTATCTAATTATGTTCCTACTTTGTACTATAATATATACGTATATGTGTTTTATAACATATACACACATCTTTTTTTCTTGCTAATCTTAGCTCATATTCCATGTTCAAGTGCACAGAACTCACACCTCTTTGTTGGTGTGGTACAAATACTCAATACAACAAGCTCAGAACCCTCAAAAATAAACAGGCTTACAACCAAAATCAACAGATTTCTTCACTGCATCCAGTAGCATCTGAGTCTTTCTGCTAATGTCAGGCCATTTAGGATCAGGGTGGGAGGCAGATGTTCTAATATCATGAACAAGCCCTGCAAACTCCTGAACCATCAAAGCCTCCTGCGGTAGCTCAGAATCCACAACTACTTTCTGTGGCTTCACGTTCCACCCGATATGAAGTTGCGCGAGCTTCGCTCCCACAGTGAACTCGAATGAAGCGGAGCTCTCCTGATACGGGATTATGAAGTCCCGGAGATTCAAGGATCCGCCAGAACCAGTTATGGTCAAGTCCATGGATGTACTGGAGAAGAATGAGCAGTGAATAATCCCAACAGTTTCCGCTGGTTCCCCATATTGAATGGAGGCAGAGCAGGAGAGGATGACTCCATTCGAGTTTTTGGAGACGTCTGGTAGAGCCGTGACTAAAGTTGGTAGCTGGTAATTTTTGGCCCACAGGATAGCTCCAAGACAGTACCAGCCAATGTCACCAAGGGCACCGAGGGCATCCATGTCTGCTTTTACTCTAATGTCATTCTCAAGGAATTCAGGGGATACTGAAGTTGTTGATGTGCTGTAGATCTGACAGTCAGATAAGCAACAATATTCATTTAATTCGTGTCAAGTACCAGGAACGGTGGCACAAAGATTAGAAGGCCAAGACAGAATTAATCCCCCTTCTAAATACAAGTAAGAAGAAAACAAAAGACACTTACGTAATTGACATCTCCTAAAAGCTTAGAATCAAAGAGCGTCTCCTTCATTTTAACAGTCCTAGGATGGTGCAACCACATGGACCCATCCATGAACTGCACACCATTGGATTCACAAGCTTCAAGTATCTGCTCCAACTCAGTCACATCGAGCGCCGTTGGTTTCTCTATCAGCACATGCTTCTTCCTTCTGGCAGCCATCACCGCCCAATGAAGGTGCAGACTAGTCGGCAGTGGCATGTACACAGCATCCACAAATGGATCATCGAGCACTTGATCGTAGCTCCCGTAAATCTTGACGCTCTCACGCACGCCGTTGTCACTCGCAAATTGCTTGGCCTTTTCTATGGAACGGCTGCCAATGGCGTACAGGACCGAACAGGGGGCTAAGTTAATGGCTCTGGCAACTTTTCTTGCTATGTTTGCACAACCGATGATGCCAAAACGAATTGGAGTTTCAGGTTTTTCACCCATTTTTATGATTTGTTGCTCTGTTGGGTTGGAAGGCTGTCGAGCTTGATATTCATTCGGTGGTTGGACAACGTTGGAAGGGAAAGGATCAGGATTGAACCATATCCCCTGGCTCTACGTGGGCTCATTTGGCCCTCCAAACCCTCATAATAAAAATCCATTATTTCTTGGGCTGGGCCTGACCGACACACTCGATATTAATAACTCAGGTTTAACTTTGTGGTTGTTACTTTCTTCCAGAGAAAAACAAGCTTGGGATTTTTTTTCTAAACATTTTTAATTATGATCTATATTATTTTAAATAATTTAATTAACTAAAATTTATAAAATATATATTTAAAAAATGATTTATTTGAAGCTTTTGAAACTTTTTTTCATATTTTAATTAATAATAAATACACAATGATAAGATATTAAACTTTAAAACTTTTTTTTTATGAAAAAAAACAGTTAAATTTGTGACAAATTTAAGTCTAGTTACTTCACCACTAGTAGTATTTTTTAAAGCTCAATATATTATCCTAGTTGTGTTGAATGTTGACCTTGAGTTGGATGGGTGGGTAGTTCCAATGTGATTTCCTAATTGTTAAGACAAGTAATAATACTAGCACTAATTTAATATTATTTTATATTATATATCCTTATCATGCAAGTCATTATCAATTAAGTAAAAACGAGAATTCCAAAAGGATATTAAATCAATTTTCCAAGTCCACGTTAGAGGCATACTTATAACTTAATGATTAAGCATATTTTATTTTTTTAATGATATGTTTAGTTTTATTAGGTTATCACAGTATTACATGTCATATTCTAAAATTTAATTATTATATGTTATATTAAAAATAATTATTACATGTCATGTTAAAATATATTTGTTATATATTATGTTAAAAATTTAATTATTACACATCATATTAAAAAATATAATTATTATATATTATGTTAAAAATTTAGTTATTACTTATCATATTAAAAAATATAATTATTACATATCATATTAAAAAATGTAATTGTTACAGGTAATATTAGAGATTTAGTTATTACATATCATAATGAAAAAATTATTATATGTTACATGTCACACTATAATTTTGTACCTTTTCGTATTTATATGATAAATCAACATTCATAATATGTACATATTCTACATGATACCTTTCCCTTTAACATTTAATTTTAAGAAACTAAAAATATTTAACTTTTAATTATTATAATTAAAACATTTAAATATTAAATTAACAAGAACTTAAAATTTTTAATTTCAAATTGAGCATTTAATCCTTTTTAAAACGTTGAATCAAAATAAAATCTCAAAAAATGTGCTTTTAAAAGTTCAAAAATTTTATAAGAGTCCCAAAATGCAGTTAACAATTAACATTTCTCTTCCAATCAAATCATGTTTGACTTTTTGACAAATCCGGAAAAAATATCTAATAGAAAATCACGCGCCAGCCAACGCACAGCTTTTTCTAGACAAGTTCGTGAAGATGGCGGGCGGGAGGTGGACCATTTCCAATTGAAAAATATATTACATTTCTATAAAAGAGAGGAGGTAGCAGCCTTCGAAATGAACCAACAAGGGAAGATAACCCGTCTTTGATGTGAAAGTTCAAACTTCCTTTTCTTTAATCTAATCTTTTTTAAAATTATTAATTATAAAAATATATAGATGTGATTAAATTAAATAAAAATAAATTTAATTGAATATTCTTAAATACTTCAAAAGTTTTTTCTTAAAAAAAATATTATATATTTTTTTATGCCAATCATATGAATATGGTAATAGATATTTTATAATTAGACATACTACCTTATTTGATTCAATTAAGTAAGATTAAAATATTTTATAATCAAAATCGAATAAAATTTGGATAATAAAATTTAATAATTATCGTAAATTCGAATAAGGTTTTGAGTAGAGTCACGAAGTATTCACTATCCGAATTTTCGAATTTGAAAACTAAGAAATACCTTATCCCGTATATTTTTGTTGATATGGAACAAGTGTGCGTGGCGTGGGTGGATTCAAGGAAGAAACGTTTGGAATCTGGACAAGTGCAGTGTAAAACCAAAATTAGTGGAATATTTTATGTGTCTGTAGTATTTTATCTCTAATTTAACAACGTCAATGCTAGGCAGAATACCTGTATCAAAAAAAAAAAAAAAAAAAAAAGAAAGAAAAAGGAAAATGATGACGATTTCCATTTCCCCACATGCCCTCCCTCTGCTTCAACGTTATAAAAGAGTGGCTCCCTCTACATCACAGGTCAAACAGGGATTGGGCCATTGTCAGTCAGTCGGTGGCCGAGCAGGAGGAGGAGTTGTTTTGGCGATGGCATATCTCAATAATCTTACGACCACCAACCATTTGAGACATGTGGAGTCCATGGCAACTCTGCCTTCGGGCGCCGGCAAGATTTCCCATTTGAACGCTGTCGTCTTGGGTGAGGCTCTTGCTTCGGAGGAGGACCACCTCGTTTTCCCTAGTGATGACTTCTCTGGCCAGGCTCTCGTTCCTTCTCCAATAAAGGTTTCTCATTCTTTTTGTTTGTCTCCGTTTTTTACCATTCAAATCAATACTGGAGATATGTTCATACTGCGTTATGTTTCCTTTTAATTCATCAGCAGCTGTACATGATAACAAAAATAATGGATATTTATGATTTGGCTTGTATTGAGTGGTTATAATTGATGATTGTTAATTGTGGGGGCGAGATGAGATCAGTACCTGGAAATGTACAGACGATCAATAGAGGACCCCGCTGGATTTTGGTCCGACATTGCATCATCGGAGTTCTACTGGAAGCAAAGGTGGGGAGACCAAGTCTACTGCGAGAATCTCGATGTCAGGAAAGGGAACACAAGATCGAGGTCTTTTTCTCTGTTTTTCGTCCTTGTTTTGTCTTGTTTAAGATTTGGGTCAACGTAAGTCTAATCACTTTCTTTCGTTCTTTCTGGGCGTTACCAGTGGTTCAAAGGTGGCATCACCAATATGTGCTACAATTGCTTGGATAGAAACATCGATGCTGGACTTGCTGACAAAATCGCCCTTTACTGGGAATCGAATGAACCTGGCTTTGATGCCACTTTGACTTACTCGCAGCTACTGGACCGAGTTTGCCAGGTTTCTTTAAGTTTGTTTCTTTGCTGCACCTTTACAAATTCATCAATTGGAAACACCTCTCATTTGGTTCATTTCTCTGCAGCTTGCTAACTACCTGAAAGCTATTGGCGTTAGAAAGGGTGATGCTGTTGTTGTTTATTTGCCCATGTTAATGGAACTCCCGATTGCCATGCTTGCATGTGCACGCATTGGTGCTGTTCACTCGGTACATGCCTCCTCTTTGTTAGCATAAAAAGGATGAACAGTGTGAAACTGCTAAACTCTAAGAGATTACATTGTTAATTTCTGCTTTATAATTAAATATATTCCTACCCCCTTCGTCCTTTCAGGTTGTCTTTGCTGGATTCTCTTCAGAATCTCTTGCCCAACGTATCATGGACTGCAAACCAAAAGTTGTTATTACTTGTAATGCTGTTAAAAGAGGTCCTAAGACCATCCATCTCAAAGACATTGTTGATGCTGCCCTTGTTGAATCTGCCAAGAATGGGGCCTCCGTAGGTTAGTAAATTTTAAGAAATTGTTATCTGATTTGAGCATTGTTTTCTCCATTGCAGTTCATGCATATTTAGACTGGGTCAAACCCATTTCCGGTACTGAGTTTTTGACTTGAGATTAATTTTACAACTTTTGCTTAACATTGCCGTACATTGGAGCACTTATCTTTAGCCTAAATTTCATTTTCTATAGCAACTAAAATTTTTGGTACAACAGTCTTCCCTTGCACTACTGTCCCTTCAATTTCATTCAGAATGTTTTGATAGCCAAGGGCCAGGTGCTTGCCAGTTGCCTTAACATAACCAATGCAGTGTGTTAGTCAGATGTGGCTTAACATAACCAGATATAGAACACCATGGATGCTAATCAGGCTGCTAAGCCCTTACCTTTTTGCTGCCTGCATCCTGTGCTTTTGTAATTGAGCTGCTTCCTCAAGTTGCTGCATGGATTTCCATCACCAGTGACACACAATTTTATTAATTTTTATAACTCATCTGTTCTCTATAAAAAGGAGCTATCTTCTTGTGAGCAGATGTATGCTTAACGTATGAAAACCAATCGGCATTGAAGAAGGAAAGCACTAAATGGCAGGATGGAAGAGATATATGGTGGGAGGTTAGTATATAACTGGAAAAGAATTGTACATTTTGATGGTTTCTGTTTTCAGTAGCAATAATTTTAAATTAGTATTTTGTTTAGTCGTGGATTGCTGATTTTCATAATCTTCTTCTAGGATGTTGTCCCAAAATATGCAACTACTTGCGATGTTGAGTGGGTTGATGCAGAAGATCCCCTTTTTCTACTGTATACTAGTGGCAGTACTGGAAAGCCGAAGGTATTTATTTTCCTTGGTTGATGTATTTTATTTAGTTTCTCATTTACCTTTGCTATGCTCTAATATGAACTTTTAAAAGGGCGTCCTCCATACAACTGGAGGATATATGGTGTACACGGCTACAACATTTAAATATGCATTTGACTACAAAGCGTCTGATGTGTACTGGTACTTTGGACACTCTGCATCCTTAATTTTCCTGAAATTTTATAAATTCTTGCTGCTTAGTAATATATCAATACTTGGTTTGCTTGACATATCTTTTCCTTGATTTTAGGTGCACAGCAGACTGTGGTTGGATTACTGGGCACAGTTATGTCACTTATGGACCAATGCTTAATGGAGCAACAATTGTTTTGTATGAGGGGGTAAGGGTGTACAATTCTTATTTGACATGGAAAAAGAGATTATGCTTCCAAGATTAGCAACTAATCCATCTTTAAATAGATCTGGCATTGGATAGTGTCTATGATGTAACTTTTGATTCCGTGGGGATTGTCACTAAGACTAAGAAGGAAAATTGGCAACTAATCCCGCTTAATTAAATTATGTCAGATGAAACATCAAGGTATATGGAAGGTTTGATAAGTTATATTCTGTTTCTGAAAGTTTATCAAGAGAGCAACTAGGTAGTAAGACGCTATCCATCACAGCACATTGCAGCATATGAACATAGAAAATGTAAACTTTGATTTTAATATATATAATGGCCATTAATAAGTATAAGAATCTCATATTTGTTGAAACAAGATATTTTGATTTAAAAATGTTGTAAATGTTTCAATAGATAGCAACATGTCCACATGTTATATGCAGGCCCCAAATTATCCTGATCCTGGACGATCTTGGGACATTGTTGACAAATACAAGGTTACCATATTCTACACTGCCCCTACATTGGTGCGCTCTCTTATGCGTGATGGTGATGAGGCAAGATTTATCTCTAACCTTACTTACAAACTACAAATCTATGGACCAAAATATTTATCAGAATTGTTGTGAACAAAGAGAGCTCCTCTTTACTGGTTTGCTTCATTTATGTTCATATTTGACACCCAGCCTCATAATTTCCCACAGCTTCAATTTACTTTGTCTTCCTTTTCTCTTTCAACATTGTCAACCAAAATGGAGCAATAAAGATTAAAGGCACTCCATTGAATTTGGCAAGAATCTAGCCATTTTCTTTAATTCCGGCATGGAAGTTTATTTCTGTGATCTTTGAACTATCCTTTGGCCTGTGAGGAATGCTATTTTGCTATGTCTATTATGTTTGGATAGAAACCATCACAGGAGTTCCTCTTGATGTATTTCCAAAATTTATATTGATATCACTATTGCTGACTATGCAGTATGTTACACGCTACTCTCGCAAGTCCCTGCGTGTCCTTGGAAGTGTTGGAGAGCCTATTAATCCAAGTGCTTGGAGGTTCTCAGCTTTATATAATTTCGTCTGATCAACAAGTTTACTCTCTATTTTTATCCTCTCTTTCTTTCTAGATGTAAAAGAAATGTTTAACCTAAAATCATCCCAATTACTGTAGGTGGTTTTTTAATGTAGTTGGAGGCTCTAGGTGCCCTATTTCGGACACTTGGTGGCAAACTGAAACAGGTGGCTTCATGGTAAGTTTTTTTCTTCATTCCTTCATGTTACATATTTTGTTAGCATCCTCTAAGCAAATATTCTCAGAACTAATTTTTACATGGAAAATTTAGATGATTTTACTCTGCTTTACATGCATATGTCAACTTTTGATTATTGTTCTCCATTGTTAACTGGCAGATTACTCCTCTCCCGGGTGCCTGGCCACAGAAGCCTGGATCTGCTACCTTTCCTTTCTTTGGAGTTCAGGTTTAATGCAATGCTGTTATAGTCATACGCTCTGCAGTTGCCACTCCGGTGGATCCTCTGCATTAGAAATTTCATGGATTTGCTTTACCGACCACTGCTTAGTGCCACTGCACAGAATTAACGCCAAAGGCCAGTACCCAGTGGGTCCGTTACTGTAGCACGACGGTGTGGTTTCTGTGGCCCTGTTATCCTAAGCACATCATAAGGTCCGTGCAGGTTCGAGGCCTTGAGCCTGTGTTAAGCCAAGAGGACATGTGAAAGGGCTTGAGTTGGCTACGACCTTCAATATGGGTGCCCGGATCCTGACACTTAGTGCTATGGACTACGGATTCCGCTGTACTCTGGTTTCCCGGCATTGATCCTAGTGAATGGTCCTGTTTTTTTTTTTTGGTCTTTTTATCAATCTCTTCTTCTTGTATAACTGCAGCCTGTCATAGTGGATGAGAAAGGAGTTGAGATTGAAGGTGAGTGCAGTGGTTATCTCTGCGTGAAAAGCTCATGGCCTGGTGCATTTCGAACTCTTTATGGTGACCATGAGAGATATGAGACAACATACTTTAAACCATTCCCTGGATATTATTTTACTGGTGATGGCTGCAGCAGGTATGTTGTTCCTAACACTGAAATTGCTATTTTTTTGGTCTGCATTTTTATTAGTGCACAATATTGGATTCTAATTTGCCATCCTAGACTTTTATCAACTGATGGCATCCTCAGGCACTACTGTTGAGTTACTTTTGTCTTTGGTTTAGGGACAAGGATGGATACCACTGGCTTACTGGAAGAGTGGATGATGTTATCAATGTTAGGTATTCTTTTTAATGAAGTTCTGTTATCTGGAAAATATCCTATTGAATGTCTTCATGTTCGTAAGCAAGTAATTAAACAAACCGTTTCTTTCCTGTTGCCTGTGGATGATACTATCTTAATATTTGCAGTGGACATCGTATTGGCACAGCTGAGGTGGAATCTGCTCTAGTCTCTCATCCTCAATGTGCAGAAGCTGCTGTGGTTGGTGTTGAGCACGAGGTATTCAGTGGGCCTGATGCATGTTTCTAAGAATTAAGTACTAAGTAGCTGAGATACATTATTGTGGTTAGTAAGTCTAAGCTTTCATTTTCCGCTGCTGTTAGGTTAAAGGACAGGGCATATATGCCTTTGTTACTCTTGTGGACGGAGTTTCTTACAGTGAAGAACTCCGAAAGAGCCTTATACTCACAGTGCGAAATCAGGTTTGATACTATTCCAGTGGCTGTAGCATAAAGACACTTAACCTAATGCACCTTTCTTTTTGAAAATTATTGATGTAGAAATGATGCCAGCGTTATCTTGGTCTACCGACAAATTGGAAAAAAAATTGTTGAGATGTTAGTACACCCATGTGTAGGAACTCTTATATATTACCCTAAAAGTTCTGGAGGATATAAACACGAAACTTGAAATAGAGTAGTGTTAAGCCAACAGATTGATCGACCTTATTTGTTTGAAAAATAGAACCTTCTGCTTTAATCATTTTAAAGCCTCAAGGAAGTCCAAGTGTTATATATGATCTACACCATAACCAGATTTCAGTTCTCAGTCCTGTCCTTGCATTTTTTGATTGTGGTCCTTATCAAGAGTACTGGGGTTTTTGTGAGACTCATCTCCTGGAATAAAAAATTGAAGCTTTAGCTGTTTTAAGCGATATCCTAACATCCCACTCAGATAGTGAATTGTTTGTTTAATGAGCTTTCATGCACTTGATTTGAATTTCCATTGCTCGTAGTATGAGATGTCCATCTGCCTTGCAGATAGGAGCATTTGCAGCACCTGACAAAATACACTGGGCGCCTGGCCTCCCAAAAACAAGGAGTGGAAAGATAATGAGGAGGATTCTGAGGAAAATTGCATCGAGACAGTTAGATGAACTTGGAGACACAAGCACACTAGCAGAGCCTGGCGTAGTTGATCAGCTTATTGCACTTGCTGACTGCTGAAACAACTCGAACTCACGGTACCGGATGCCGTCCCTTAAGGAGTGCCCCATTTTCGGCTCTTGATAGCTGTTAGTTTCAGTTTTTCCTTGTCCCTTATTTCTTTCCCCATCATATACATCTTTTGAGGTTGTTTCATCCCTATAGATTTCTGATTATCGCGGTTGAGAAAAGTATTCAAGCAGGTCCCTGTATCATGGTGAATGCTACACCGGTACTTGTAAACCAATGTACAAATTGTACACTTAAAATAATGGAAATAATAGTAAATGGGGCTTGAAAATAATTCAAACGTGTAGAGTTTTATTGCCATTCTCATAGCCCTAATGCCTATAATTAGCTTCTAAGAATAAGGGGAGCGGAATTATAACATAAACATGACACATGTGTCACGAGTTTATATTTTTAATCCAAAAAATATATTTATCATGTGGAAAAAAACTTTTATTTATAAATTCAAAATTTATCTCATCTTTGTTGTATTTGTTCTTTCACATATAGAAGAGAATGATTCGTATTTTTATTGTATTAGTTTTGTCATAGATAAAGGAGAACGATTCATCTTAATTCGAAGTATTTTTTATAAGATATCTCATATTAATGAATAGTTAAGTAGACTTTAATCTTAGTAACTCTCATGAGTAATATCCCATATCAATGAATAATATAAGAAGGTATTAATATCACTTGTCATGTAATCATTTTTTTATTCCAAAAAACATATTTATCGGATGAAGAAAAATCTTTATTTATAAATACAAGATTCATCTCATTTTTCAATAATGTCGAATCTTGATACTTACACTTACATAAATAAAAAAATTTATCACATAAAAAAGAATTCTCTTATCATATAATTTAATATCACAATTAGTAAAGCATAGGCTGCTCCTAATTTTGTTAGCACTCACCATGTAAGAATCTCTCCCACTTGTATTGGAGCTGGTCTGTCCCAAACTTCAGACGATGACAAAATCCGTGGAAATATTCCACGACATTCCTAGCTTGCTAGAAGCTTTTCGTACCACAAGTAAGTTTTAGTAGTGCTTCTTTGTCATACTGGGACTAGTACGACAAGGCTGCCATAAAGTTCGTTTTTTCTAAGAAGAGAAATTCCTAACCCTAAAGCCAAGGTGCCATGAGAGGAACTGAATAGAAACAACCAAAAACCAATTGAACTGTATTCAGCCAAGAACAGAAACCATAATACGGGCAGACAACTCTGTGGAACTCAACCATAAGTCATAACATTGGTGAACATCAATGTGGTCTAAAGATTAAAAGGTCAACATAAAATAACACCATTCAGAAAAAAAAAAAAGAAAAAGAAACAGCTACAAATGTCTGTTCCATCCATCAAAAACTCGCCTCCTTAATAACAGCCTGTGGGACAGAATTTGCCACACTTTTTTGGGCTATGTCGAGCTATGAAAGCAGATAATAATGTAGCATGCCGCTTCGAGTGGTAATGGTAAAGGTATAGTGCTCTCCCTTGTACCAGGAAAACAAAAATATCTCTAGAGACCCAACCACTTCAAGAGAGGAGTTAGATGGAAGAGTAGAATGGAAGATCAAACAGGTAAAACAGCAAGTAGTTCCTCAATAGAAACAATCTTAATCCAATTTGACAGACAGCCTAAATAGGTAAAACCCAAACCAAGAGTGTCCCAGATTATTTTTGGAATCAAAAGGTGAAAGTAGCAAGAAAGAAACATTACATCTGGGCGGTACAGGCTCTCTCACACCATTTTTTACATGCCTGCTTTGAGCAGTGCTTTCTAATCAGAATCATCATAAACTTCTCCATCATCGGATACCTCATCAAATGATCTTATGTCAAGCTGGTAGCGGAGGATACCTCCAATACCACCAAACCCTCTGCAAAACTGTGACCCCTCTTGGGATTTGTTTGTGACGAACTCAAGAGAGCAACCAAAGCGCTTATACTCATTGGCAAACCACTCAAGTAGAGGCATTTTTTCCTGAACTTCCAACTCTGCTGAGGTGGCAGGATCACGGAAATTGCTCTGGTCAGCCTCCTGCTCCTTGTTCAGGTTTTTATGACAATTTCTCCAGTTGAACTATTTTTTAGTACATATCTATTGATGTCTAGATTTTCCCACACAATAAGGATTTCTACAGCACCCATTTCCAGAGCCTTCAATGTATCATCTATGCCAAACACATACTTTCCAGTATCCTGGCTTATCTCCTCAAAGTATTTTCCAATTAATCGCTTTTCTTGTATGAACTTTACATTTGAAAGGATTTCAGCTGACAACTCAATAGCTTGATTAAAACCGTTTTCACCCCCGTAAGACACATCAACGACATTCAAAATCTTGGCCTGCAAACGAGGATCAAACATGTCGGACTGGCTCAACTCAGTCTTGAAGTCAGCTGAACCAGCCAGTATTAGTCCAGCAACATTGGGCTGACTGGTAGCAGGATTAATAAAGAACTGTGTAGCAAGTTCTGCCAGTTTTTCTCACATAGTTGTGCCGTTTCTCCATTCTCAGACGAGCAAATCGCAGAGCTGACTGTCCTCCTCTTCCATGCTTCTTTGGTAGGTAACAGTGAATTTATGAAGCACCTCTCTTGTGTTTCCACTTAACGTACCAAATAATGTGCCATTCCCATCCATGACTATAAACCCAAACTTGTCATCAGACTCTAAAAGCTCATTCAAAGCTTCAGTATGAAACTTGTTATCACAGAGGTATAATGATGCATTTATAGGTTTGAAAGGCTCAAAGTCAATCGTCACCTTCTTTTCCTTGCCATCTTCAGTAACAATTGTCCCAGTATACAGCACCAGCCCATTGGGGGGAACCTTATTATAGAGTTTCAGCCTCTGTTGAGCAGAAGTAATGGCAGCCAACACAGACTGACGGTTGACCCTGCTTTTGATGTTTGATGCAGTTCCAAATTCATCACCCAACATCTTTGTGACACGGGATATTTTGATCACGAGGAGGCATGATGAGAGAAATCATGCTGGTCCCATTACCCCTGGCAGATTCCAATGCCTTGATTAGCTTTTTTATTTTCCAAATCTCTATGTTTTTATCAGTCTCATGACCATCTGCCATTGTGCGTTGTGAAGAAGAACCAGAGACAGAGTAGCCTACAAAGAACAGGACAAATTAGGCAGAAGCAGAATGGTTTGGATTTCAACATAGATTGGCAAAAACTAGGGTGGCTGCAGAGTTCGTGCATATATAAGACTAAAGATGTCGTGCCACACAAGAAAAGTAATCTGCATCATGATTCATGAATGGTGCGAATGGGACATAGAGAGAATGTTCAGCATGACATCGCTAGATTAGATATCCACGGAGCGGAAATAGCTTCGAGGCATAATCTAAAGAGTCAAAAAGGAAGGGAAAAAGGAAAAGAAACAAACAAGATGAAGCATTGGTGATACTGATATATAGTAAAGCTGAAGCGATCAATCTGTGAACAATCCAAATTAAGTCCAGGCTTAGTTGCTTATCTCCAAATCCAACGGAATTTATTGACTTATTTATCATTTAATACTAACAAAAAATTACTACTTACATCAATTATATTATGTCAATCCACATCACTCAAAGTGCATATATAGAAGCAAAGATCTGCCCCATTTTAGTTTCTTTTTTTTTTTTTGTCAATTCTTGATTTGTTCATTTTTGCCGTTTACTATGAACCATAAGTATTATCCTACCACTTGTTTATGAACTATTATTATATAGAATAGCAGATCAGCTCAAGACGAGGAAGGTATGAAGGTGGAGCAGACATGGTATTATCTTCCAGATTCCAGCAAAGCACAGATCTTTGCCTTTCCTTCCAAGTCAAGAGAGATTGAGATAAGAAACAAATCAATGGAAAGCCCAAAAGTCGACCTTCCATCGCAGAGTAACCAAACGATTAAATACATAAACAAAACAAAAATGAAAGAAAGATTCAACAAACTGAAACAAAGATTAGACAAAGCTATATATGCAGACCATACCTCCCTCTCTCTCTCTCTGTTATTCCCGCCTGAAAAAAGCAACAAAGAAAGTGGAAGCTGCAGCTCCTCCTCCGCAGCCGCCGCCGCTGGTGCTAGGGTTTTCCACTAACCTTTACCTGTGCTGAACGCTAACGATATAGCTTCAGCTGTAGTGTACTCGTATTTTTCATTTACTGATACCTTTCCGACCCCACGCCACGTTCTTCGCCGCCTTTTTATAAATAGTTATTTTTTGGTTTTTCTTACATCTTTACCGGTAATAACGTAAAATTTTTGGTTATTTTATTCATAGAAATTAATTACCTTACCTCTATATTTATTTTTAGAAGTAATTACGTCTACAATTTCTTAACTATTAAAAAAAATTAAATAAATTATTCTTCTTTTATTATTTTTAATTAAATCCTTATATTTTTATTTTAAATTAAATTATTTTTTAAAATTAATAATTAATTAAATATTATTAATTAAAATATTATTTATCATTTTGTAATACCTTTTATGGCATGTCAATATGTCTCGTAACATTACCAATATAAGATGACAAGAGATAATTTACTTAACAATAATTAATCAAATATTAATCATACAAAGCTATTAAATTTGATCAAAAATAAAAATTCAACGATTGAATTGAACACAATAAAAAGATAAATATTTACTTCAATTTCCATGAATAATTTAAAAATTATTATGTCAAATTCTATGTAGTAATATCCATTTTTATTGTAAGAAATTTTAATTTTTATTAATTTTTTCTTAAATATTTATAAATTAAGATTACATAATTGTAGTCTTGTAACAATATATTCAGTAGACCATGATGGAGAAAAAAGAGTGCTGTAAATAAAAAATTATTTGCATTAATTTCACAAAAAATTCAGCCATGTTAGGAAGGAAAAAAAAAAAGGAAATAGAAATCACTGACAACAGTCCTTTCTTTTAAGTACAGGTAATTCTCTGGCACCAAAAGGGAAGGAAAAAGGTACTCTGTATTCTCATTTCTATCTGCTCTCCCACAAGATATAGAACAATCCTAATCTGATTCTTTCTGGTCTAACAAAATTGGGTCAATATGCTGTACAAGAGATTCTCACGAGTGTTACTTATATTGTGATGACAAGTTTCGCCAATGCAACAGATGGTAATAGCTCCATCTCCCAGATTTGAACTGAGCTTGAAGCAAGTATGGAAGGCTTCGAGCAATATGTGTCGAAAGCTGACTGACAGCATCTACAGGTGGGAGTCAAGTCAAATTTGGGATGTTGCGGTGACCATCAGCAAACTCTCGGATGACTCGCTTCAGCACTCTTCCTCCTTTCCCTTGCATATGCCCATAATCGCTCTTTCCTCCATTGGAGCTCTTGCTCTCAAGATAATCTGCAGCAGCACCAGCAAGTGCCTTCAACCAAACTGGCACTAGCGTCTCAGCTTCTCCCAGCTTCAGATACTCAACTGGAAGAGCCTGCACCTGATAAAACTGAAGAAATTCAACAAATCTGAGATTGAATCATAACAGGCAATTCAAATTACATGACGTCTCCCCCCACAGTGGCACAACACCATCTATATAGCCAACACAACATAGTGGAAGAAGGTGCTATTCCCTCACAACACACACAGGCACATATACCCAATTCTCAGCCCTAGAAGCAAAACTTAAAACAAGTGCATCATATAGCTACTGTGGTCTGTTTTGGAGTGACTGTCTTGGAATATATATATATATATATATATATATCAGAAGAAGAGCCTAGTAAAGTCAATTCAGCATTGGCACAATGGTAAGGTTGTTTGATGTCCACCTGGAAGTCACAAAAACAACCTCCTAGCAAATGCAGGGTAACACAGCCTACATCTAACCCTTCCCAGACCTTGCAATGCAGGAGCCTTGTGAACTTCTTGTCCTTTTACCCTCGTTCATTTTAGCATTTCTATGGCATGCATATAGGAGGAGCCAAAATAAACCACTCAACATCTTATCGGGACACAATTCAAAAAGAAAAGAAAAAAAAATCAAATCATAGAAAATTAAAAGGAAAAAAACTGATTTAGAGTTAGTAGCTCTAGAGGGCTAAGTTACAGAATCATCCCAGTAGGATTAGCTGAAAGCAACTTGGTTAGCTGAATGTAACTGCTTTATTCACATTGGTGAAGTACTAAATTTCAGCCCACTTGCAATTGCATGAATGTCCATATGCACGTTAAAGAAAAGGAGGGAAAGAAAGGAGAGACCGCTGCTTGTAGCCATGAATGCAAAAAATCCCAACAAAGAATGGCCTTCCAGGTTGTTCTTTCGCTCAAACAGCAAATTGCAGCTAATTGTTGCAATATCGTTGCACACTTGTGAACCTATTAAGAAGGAAAAGCAGCATAAGTTGTCAGCTGCATAGAGTACAGATATATGTACAGTCAATTAGACATGAGATGCTTTGGTTTACCATGGAACGGGACTTGCTTCATTGCCATCAAAATGGAGTCAATGCATATCCATAAAGTTATTAATAAATCCCTTAATTGCTATCATGTTTTTGTGATATGTTACTGAAAGAAAGTATCCAAACCAAGGTCACTGATATGTGAAGCTTGCAGCACTAAAATTCCATAAAATATGCATTTTAGCAAACCTATTCATGAGTTAATTTTCAATACCTCCTTGTCTATCACAAACATTGTTTCCATATTGCCCATAATTTTAAACACCTCCTTGTCCATTACAAACATTATTTCCATAGCTGCCCCCACTAATTTATTGAACACAGTTTTACATCTTAGTGAAGGTTGGATTAGAGTTTGCAATACCACCACATGTCATCATACTTGCCTGCTCACCTAGCCTAAATAAACACACGCTTCATCATATTTAGAACACGGTGACACAGATTTCCTGTCGGACACTTTAACAATCCCTCCGAATTTATATATCCCCCTTTTAACCTTCATTTGACAAGGGATGAATGATAGCCACGATAGCGACCCAGAGCTCCCTCCAAACCCTCTCCATAAACTCAATTCTTCTCATTTGCCTTATCATAGCTTACTTGATAACTTCTGTAACTAAATAAAAGCTATCCCTCAAACTGTCACTTAACAAGTTGATGTGTTCTTGAACCCTCTCTCAACTACTATTGTGAAGATAATGCGAGCTTCAAACTTCAAACCTTTGCGCCAAATACTTTCTCCATATCATTGCTATTGTTTCCAAGTTCACTATGAAACGGCAGTCAATGCCCTTTAATTAAAATCTAAACATAATAGGTGAATACATCACATGACATCAAAGATTTACTTCAAAGCAATGAATGGGTTTCAAATTATATGCTCAAAGTCAGCACAAACATATGCAGTCATTAATCTATTTGAGATTCAAGAATACTGCATTTACCCGTGACATTGCTGAGACACCAAGTAAAGCATACACTATATTTGATACAAGTCCCTCCCCACTATGAGAAATGACATGAATTGCCGTGGCACCAAATGACCCTTCAGGAGCAAAGGTCATTGATTCCAATAATGAAGTCAGGCCAATCTCCAAGAAACCTAAAAGGCTCAAAGCAAATGATATAAATATCCTTCACCAAGTTATAACTGGAACAGATTTGTAAACACGAAAAAGAGAAAAACAACAATTCTCAAGAAAAAGCCAGCATAGGCGCCAACTTCAAGAATAAATACAAGCAGCTAAAATCACTAACATGGCTTACAATTCAGTGACCTGAATGTGTATTATGCTATGAACACACTGACATGTGTTTATCTGTGTGTCTGCCAAGAATCTGAAAGCAGTTTAGTGCAGAAATAGATATATCATACTTAAACTGGAATTGCTGAAGCATGTTGATTGTTGTCAAATGCTATTGCAGGGATAAAACACAGTGAACAGGCTTCATACCACAAAGTGAATATTACTTTCTACTAACACTCACCCCAAGTGAAGCTCCAATATTAAAAGTCAAGGAATATTTCTGTATCTCCATTGACTCTTAGGACAAAGCAAAAGGAATTGGTTCGAATTGAGAACATAAGGTAATTTCAAAGACAAAATTTAAACTGCAAACATCAGTATTCAATTGTTTCCTTATATAATGTGGTTTCAATAATAACCATAGTTAGGATGTCAGGGCCCACAGAGAGCATTATCATTAACGGCTCTTATCTTTGATCCACAGGCAGAAGGAAGCAAGGAGTATTTAACATATAGTGCTTACAAGACAAATACGACATAGCTGCAAGAGCTGCCCCACGATGCATAGCAGTGCAGCATATAGCTGCCTTTTGAAAAGAAATTTCTAGAAGAGGACCAGATGCCGCCAATGCTTCCTGAGATTTTTATCAAACAGCAAGAAAAATCATTCAAATCATTTCCAGTAGAAGGCAAGTCCTAATAAAATATGTATAAAGTACACTGACCTTGATTTATTTCCAATAAAAGGCAAAAAACCAAGAGCAAGAAAAGCATGATAAATAGTAAAATAAGATGTATACTACACCTTACGAGAGCCACGAACATATGTTGATGCAAAATTTGTGTAGGCCTCCACTAGATCAGGCTCTTGGTCACATACATATGAAGAATTAAGGGCCATTACTGACGATGCTTGGGTGAACCGTTCAAATGTGCTCATGAACAAAGGACCATACTCCTCTTTGTGACCAAACTCTTCAATAACAACAGAAGCTGACAAGATTTGTTTTTGCACCCGCGTAAAAGGTTAAGAAAAAAATGCCCATTGAATGTGGCTATCTACTATACTATAAAATACAGTACGTGGGTATGTATTTAAGATGTTACCACATCATGCCATGTGCCAAATTACCTTATATTCATGAAAAGCGAAAAGAAAAATAGCACCCATGCCACACTATCATTTGAATAACCACCAGCCAAAGACATTATGGACAAATAAGAAGATTAAATTACTACTCCATATTTTGATTTAGAGCCGGAGGATGATAGCCAAGCAGATCACATGAAGGAGAAGCAAAAAATTGAAGACATGTATAAAAATTATCCTAAGCATCTCAAACTCTTACTTTTGTTAATTCTTCAATCATGAGCTGAGATGTTAATGATAATTCATAAGGATTACAATTCAGGTTAAGTATTGAGCATGTACAGTTAAATCAACAGACACAATATAGAGTTTTTAAAATAACCAAAGAAGATCATTGGAGAAAAATACCACAATTCTTCACTGCACCAATTACTCAAAAGTAAAACCCAAACACTTACCAGTTCGAATGTAGCATTCATGACTTTGAAATGACAAAAAGTTTGTCGACAGGCAATCTAGTATTTTGGGCAATAGCAATTCAAAGTGCGGGCCTGCACAATCAAGCAACTTCCAGTGTTGTACCATCATGCAATCAAAAGAGTCCACGGTCCCCCAAGTAAACCCCAAAATTAGTTAATTTGACAAAAAGCAAGAAGAAAAGGAGGAAACTTTCTTCAGTACCTGAGGATTGAATCGCTAGTGAAAGAGCACGACAAGCTGCAGCGGATAAACTACTGTTCTCCATGTGTTCTGATCTAAAAAGCTTATCCAGCATAGGCCAGAAAACCTTAAGTACTGAAAGAATGGAATTATCAGTAGAAGGCTCACACAGGGAAGGCATGGCCAGATGACTGAGGACAATTCCCATCCTGAAAATCAGACAACCGGAGATTACACCTCAAACTCAAAAAGCTACATATTATATATGAAGTTCCAGCAATGATAGAAATATAGTTGCATAAAATTGCACCAACAAAATACCATATCTGATTCATTACTCTGAAGAGAATACCTGTGCAGTCCTCTAGTTGCAAAGCTCAAAATTTCCGTATAAGCGGCTGGATTTTGTCTCAGAGAATGGTTATTATTATCTTCTATCTGAAAGAAAATTAAGCTGTTAATTGCAATTCAAAATTTTATAATGTAAAATAACATACTCAAGTCTGCAACAGTTCGCATAAAAAAAGCAATAGAATCAAGCTGCTTCCACAATAAAATTCAGAATGACGCTAAATAATTCATAGATGGTGACATGAAGAACTAAGCAAATAAAATGTACCGACAAGCATAAATTCTCATCTGCCAACTACTCTCAGCTTTTATGTCTTCTGTATCTATCTTTCCAATCAGATTGCACCTAACACCATAGAAGCCCTCTCCGTATCATTCAGCTGATATTATACCTAAAATCTCCTTGTAAGCTAGCTGCCAACCACTACAGAACAATGCAACACCCTAAGTAAATCCAAGAGGATAGAATCCAAGGTGATTATGAGGTAATGGTTGGATTTGAACACATACAAACATCTACATCAGAAGACCAGCTAGTCATAATTTATGAGGATAGAATCCAAGGTGATTATGAGGTAATGGTTGGATTTGAACACATACAAACATCTACATCAGAAGACCAGCTAGTCATATTTTATAATAGAGAATCAGTCCCCCTATTTTTCACTCGATATTATAAGGGACAGACCTATCCTTTCCAGCCGTTACTCAATCTTTGCACTGAATTATTACCACGTCGAGTGCAACACTTCAAAAGCAATTCTTATCTTGTAGACAAAAGTTTTAGTCCTGAACAAAACACTCAAACCTCACATATGAGTGCAAAACGGCATCAAGCATGCTAGGGAGAATATCAGGCTAGAAAAAGCTTATCCAAAGACTGCAACTTTGTCTCATTGTTTTCATTCATAATACTCTCACATATATTTCAACTACAAGGGTAGCCTAGTTCAAATGCTTAATGCAAATACAGTCTTAAGGGAGAAAGAGGAGTAGCATGACAAATGGCATTGTGTTGAAAAGTTATTAATACATAGCAAATTAAAGAGATCATGTGGCAAGAAACTAAGAAATTAATACATAGCAAGACTTTATTTCTAGTTGTCAGGTTTGACAGAAAGCCAAACAACCTGTTCTGAATAGTTATTCCAACTCCACTACAAAATATACTTCACACAGGTTAGTCAAGAAATGAAAGATTCAGATTAGATTCAAGACAACCTAAACACTTTTAGAATTTTCAGATACTACTAGGGTGATAACAGGCTTTACATTTGTTGGAGAAAGAGAAAATAAAATATGAAATAATGTTTTTCCTCAACGTTTTCCTTTTTTTTCTCTTTTTTTGGTAGTGGTCCAAGGGATGAGATGAGTTGGTACAAGACACAAAAAGATAAATAAAAAAGGGGATTCATTCAGGATAATGCGCATGAAAATTTCTGACATCGTGTAGATTTAAAAAACATTCATCTCTATCTGTAAGGGAGCACTAATGGAAATGAGGTCAGTCGAACAGATATCCTGTTTGCAAGGCAGTTTTGTTGTTGAGACACCCCAAGAGAGCAGGATCAGGGGGATTCAAACCCTGGCTTGCAGAAAGCTGTCAAGCAACAGCGTAAAATACTAGATATCTACTTTAGGCTTCAGGGGGAAGAAGTGAATGGGCTTTCCACCAAACATAGCATTCTTTAATGGTGGGAGGTCAGGCATTAAAAAAAAAACAACATTTTTTCTTCCTCAATAAAACAAAAGCAACTCTAGATAGGGGAACTAGCTCAAAACAAGACCTGAACAGAAAAACTTGGCATGGATGCACTCAATAAAAGAGGATGAAGAAATTTAGTATATGCATGCACCAAGTACCAAAGACCAATGATTTTTAAAAAATCCGAAACAGCAAAGAAGTATAAATCAAGATTTCTAAAAATCCAAAATTACTTCAAATAGAGCTTCTGTTTGCCTGCTATTGGAACAGCAGCCATGGATGACCTATGAGGGAAAGATGGCCTGTATACTACAGAGTCTCAACTCATTTCAGTAATATGACCCAGCTCTGGATGCAGCAAGTACAAACCTGAAGGAAGGATTGTCTTTAATGTCCATCCAGCTACTAGTTCCTTTCTAAGCTACATATAAGTAAAATGTGTTATGTTGGACATATCTCACCATCTGCAGTTAGCATATCCGACCAGTTTTATTTACACCCATTTCAGCTAGAGTCTAAAACATGCCATAAAGACCCAACAGTTTCCGCCTCTCTTCACTCCATCTGTAGATGATGCAAAGTTAATGAACTCATACCATCCAAATTGCAATGCCTCATGATAATTGCTACGATTGCAGTCAGAAAGAGCAACATCCATTAAAAGAAATCAAGAAGTGTTTAGTTAGCTCCTTTAAAACTGTTTTCTCAAATCAATTACGTTAAACATTTTAAAGCAAACTATTTGCTACAGTGCATTATGGAAAAATTTGTATAACCCAGATAATACAAATATTAGCCTCAGGAGTGCATAGGAAAATAACCGCAGAACCATAACAATAGACCAAGTATTATAAAAAGTAACTGACAAGTTTCCCAATAGCTTCATAGCTAGATGATAGCAATCTAGCCAACAAGTTGTTCTGTAGCTCCTTGTTAGAAACAGAGCCAAGGACCAGACTGATTGCACTAACAACTTCTTCTTCATCTTCCAAAGGAAGACACCTCTTCTCCAAAGCCTGTGAGAAGAAATGATAAAGAAGTTAGAAGACAGGATAATAACAAATAGCAACAATCTAGTTTTAATGACAAATGTTTAAGCAGCTGAAGATGTAGAAAGAGGAAAAAGAAAGCAACAAAAAGGGGAAAAAAAAAACAAGAGTGATCAGGAAAATCATTGGCTACAAAAAGTTCATAACATGTTAGATCATCAGTTCTATGTATCAAATTATTTTGGCATTATCCTTATGCCAGTGATAAACAAATATTGTTTACTTGGCTTGGATGTATGTCAAATAAATCCAGAAAACTTGACCACAATTACGTGAAGCATTAATTATTTTTCATTTTTTACCATACAAAAGAATATGAAGAAATAATTACCTCTCCTATCCACATCAAGATATCCAAATTTGACGGCTCATAAATCACAGCAGAAACTTCTTCACAAAATTTACGGAGGGCAGAGGCACAAGCATTTGAGGACAGAGGTTCTGAAATCCCAGCAGCAAGAAATAATCTGGAAGTAGCAAATTAGCAAAACCATGATATGGTGCATCCTAGATAGATTGATGATAGATCTTGCACAACAGATTGTACATTTTCTTTCCTCTTCACAAAAGGTTTCCACAAAAGATGACAAAGACAAAATGATCTCTGTAAATACATGCAAGATTCCTACAATACATTTAATACAAAGTAAGCACATCACTGGTAAACAATAGAAAATGGTCATCCTTACAGTGAGGGTCTAGTATTAGTTTGCAGGGCAGATATCCACTTGGAATAAGAGCCAATAACATCTGCAACTGATCTGTAAACCTAGTTAAAAAGAAAAATCCTCCTGAGGAAACACTTTTTTTTCCAACAAATCCACCATTGAGAAATAATATTCATTGCAAATTAACAAAAAGTAGTGCATAAATATTTTGAAAGGCATAACTGACATACAATGCACATGAATCCCTTGAGCTCAGCGGAAGGCCTGGAAGATAAGATTGTAACCAGCTGCATAACCACTGAGAAATCAAAGGCCTGGCCCTCTTGAAGGACTACTTCAGAAACCTGCAATTGCAGGACTCCTACACTATTAAAGTTCCAAAATATAAACTTCTATATAATCAAGATGGATTCATCCAGTCACATCTCTTGTGAGACATATTATAAAACCTCTTATGAGGATTTCCACAAAAATATAACATTATGTTGACCACACATTTAAAGCTTCTTCGAAAAAGCTTGAGAAATTTGAACATTAGAACAGCAAGTACTAACGAGCATGAAACAGGTGTAAGAAAAAAGAACTTACTCCACTTGATTAAATGCAAAATATGTACATAGATACACATTAGATTTGCACATGCACAGAGATTAAATATATACATCCTCCTTTTTCATTGGAGGAAGTTGGAAATGATGAATACAAATGCACCAAGAGTACAGAGAAAGAGACAGACTGGGACAAAGTTGTATGCTGTGCTTACCACATTGAGGGCAAACAATTTGGTTTCGACCTCTTTCCAAGCTATTGCCATATTTGTGGAAAACCAACCACCAAAAAAAAGCTGCAAAATTGGAAAATGAATAAAATGAAATAAGATTAAAACAACATCATACTTTATCATGTTAGAAATTATGGAAAAAAAGGTAAATGCAAAAGAGGAGAGGACAAAGGACAACATTGTTAGAACTATCAGTTATATCATATACGCTGATTGAAGAGTCCTCGCACATCGATAAGCAGGCAACATTAACAGAGGCAGAGTTATGCAAATATGTCATAGCAAAAAGGAAATAGAGGTAGATCCATGCTGATTCTTAAACTACAGTGATTATGATGGCATATTAAACTTGGACCAAAAAATAAAACAAATACTTGAACAGGCATAAAAAAAAATTCAAAAAACAGAATACGGGCTTCAGCTTTATCCAAGATATATCATCGACCAGAACAACTTTTAAACTAGTTGAACCATATAGAATTAAATTATACGACCGAATCAGCACCCTTTGCACAAATGGAGCAGGTCGTAGCAGCTGACATATATCTACCAAAAGTTCAACAAGATTCATCCTGAATTGGAGAAGACCATCAGGCAAGTCAAAACTTCCACTCTTGTCATCCAATGCAGATTCATTCACCTATGAAAGACGATTTCAACATACTACCATCAATTCTCAAATATAAATAGCATAACCAGACATGCACATGCATGTGTCACACAAAACAAAAAATGCTAAGAAATGATATTCAATGTAAGGTTACATTAAATTGAAGCAATGTTTCAGCCTCCGCAACAACCACGAAAGTAAGCATTCATGTTGGTTACTGAGTTGTTAAAAATTCACCGTAGATGAACAAATTAGAGGCCATCAATCCAATTACTACCCTAAGATGTGTGATAGATTTAGCAGTTAATCCATTTGGATCCCATTTTCTCACCTATCAGAATGTAATTACTAATAGAAAGCATGAAATATTCAAGTAAGTGAAAAGTAGATAGACCAAAATATTCCCTGAAAATGTGTTAGGATAGGCTACTTCTACAAAGGCTTTCATTTTCAGGAAGATTCAAATCTTAAAAAGCCATCTAAATCATTTGGCTACAACAGTGGCAGAATTCTTAGAACTTTCTGAAGATTCTACTGAGATTACCAAAAGCATTCATCCAAACAAGCCCTAAAGGTGTCCACTTGGCCCTCACTGCAAACTAAAGGAAAATTCTTCATTCAAACAGAACGCAGCAATTTAAGCAAAGTCTGAATAAGAAAAACAAAAAAAAGACACTGATATTGCGGCAATAGCTATGAGACAACAGCTAATTTCATTCTGACAAAATGTAACCAAACGTTCCCTGCCTCACTTCCTCCTTCCCCCTTGCAGTACACATCTCAGACCCAAGACTAGACACCCTACATGACAGAACCTATCGTTCAATTTCATGTAATTCAGTTCCTTCCACCCCTTGCTCCCTCTCGTTTCAAACAAAAAATCTGCTGTCTTAATGAAGATGCATGACCTTAACACAATTAACTGGAAAACTGAAAATATAATTTAGTCAAACTAGTTAAGACATCTACCAGTTTAGCTCCGATTGCTTGCAAGTTTGCACCTTGCTTTCCACCATTATTTTTGTTTTTTCAGTTCTTTTCTTTCGTAAAATGCAAAATCTCATTTCCCCAAAAATGAATAAATAGGACAGTGCAAACATGATAATAACACATCAGAGTTACACCTATGAAGCTTTTCTTTTTTCATAGAGAGGAGAAAGAAGAGAAGGGCAGGAAAAGGGCTAGGAAATAACCTGAGCACGTAGTAAAAGAGCATCAAGTAATGCTGAGAATACAGAAAAAAACATGCCTTCGACATTTTTTTTGTTTGTACCATCAACATCAAGACCAAGTATATAGCTTGCAAGACTGGACCTGAGAAGAAAGAAAATGTATTGAGCTTCCAAAGAAAAAAAAATTCAACAAAAGGAAGAACATAGTATACTGCAAAATAAGCTGTTTTTCAGTGGAAGTGTTTTGAAAAGTACCAAAATTGCAAAGTTGAGTCTGCAATTTCCCAGTCTTCACATGGAAATGCCACACAGCTGACAGCATAAATGACAGGTTATATAAAATCTGGAATTAAAAGCATGCCAGGATGAAATATGACCTAAAACCACAAGGCACCAGAATAAAGACAAAGAGCCAGCAATCTATTGAGGAGAATTCATCCTAGCATGGGACCTTCAAATTGTGATCCCTTTGGCATATGACTGTTCCCATTATACTTACTCAGGATCCATGACATGTTTATAAATTTTTAATATGCAGTTTCGAAATTATTTACTACATAAAAACTAGCCAGAAGCAAATGGCTGTCAGCTCTTCTG